TTATCCTATCCCATGTGGAGGTTGGCGAGATTACCTTAGGGCTTCATAGAGTTGCCCCAGAGTCTCATGCTGGGACATTCTTTCCTCCCCGCTAAGATGTTGGGGGAGCAGGATGGGCCAGGTCCTTGAAGGGGACAGGATTCCTGTGGAACTTGCTCCCAAGAGATATTCTGTGTCCTTTTCATGCTCATCTGGGGCAGCTTTTGCGAGGGAAAAACCCCTCAACGGGCACTGAAGATGCTCTCTGCCTGCCTCGGCATCCGCCTCTCCTTTCTTGACCAGCCGCCTCTTCCCGACGGAAGTGCTGAGGGGACTTGACTCTCAGCACTCCTCCTGGTGTTCCCCACAAGAAGCTCTGACGGTCCATCGAACTCAAGGTCATGTGCTCTGACTAGCAGCAGCTCTCCAGAGTGTGGAGTAGAGAAAGACGTTTCCTCGGCACCTGCCCTGAGTGAGAATTTTGAATCCAGGCGGAATGAATCCCAGGAGGATACCTGCCAGGATACTTTTCACTGGAACCACAGTCTGTCCCTTGATCTTGGGAAACGAAAGAACATACATGAGGTGTGAGCCTTTCCTCGACACACCGCACTCTGCCAGCCAGCTTCCTCTGAAGACAGAGACCCAGAGGCCAGCCCTGCCTCCTTGAACCAAGGAAGTCCCACAACCGGCCTCCTTGGCGGCTCAGCCGGGTCTGAAGGAAAACGGCCGTTTAACTGTCTTTTGGGCTCTAACTCCCACCTCCCACCTGCTCTCCCAATATTCCGAAGGCCCTGATTGGCTGCTACCTGTCCCATGAATATTCCAACCAGCTTCAAAGGCGATTGGTAGTTTTCAGGAAATGGGCATGACTTTGACTTCTCTGTCACACAGGCCTATATTAGCCCCACCTCTGTGGGACTCTTACCACAGAGACAAAACTTCCTACTAACCACCACTCGGTATTCAAGAGCTGCACATTTGGGTTTCAACACCTGACAGAAGGGAAAGGGAAAGGGGAGGCAAGGCACATACTTTGAAAGAGGTCTTAGAAAGAAAAGGACAAGGCTCCAAGGGAAACTCGGAATGATGATGGAGACTGGGTTAAAGTAGAGTAATCCCAAAAAGTGGATGTAGCAGGAACTGAGACAGATTTGCATTCAAAGGAAGAAGAAGAGAAGAGATTGGATTTCTATCCCGCCCTTCACTACCCAAAGGAGTCTCAGAGCTGCTTACAAACCCCTTCCCCTCCCCACGACTCTGTGAGATAGGTGGGGCTGAGAGATAGGTGGGGCTGAGAGAGCTCTGACAGAAACTGCTCCTGAGAGAACAGCTCTGACAGAACTATGGCTTGCCCAAGGTCATCCAGCAGGTGCAAGTGGAGGAGTGGGGAATCAAACCCAAACTCCCAGATTAGAGTCCGTGCACTTAACCCCTTCATTCAAACAGACTTGAGCACCAAACTCTCAAATGGCCGAAAAACATGGTCAGAGGCAGGACATGGGAGTTGCCACAGGGCGAAAGTGTTTTGAGGGAGGGAGTGAGTGGTTGCTTTACTGGGTGGACAGAAACTGTTCCAGAGAGCCCTAGTTTCAATGGGACTGGGGTCCTGCGGGATCAGGTAAATAAGGCAATAATGATTCCAAGTTTCTGTCAGTCTTCTTCTTTGCTTGGAAGGAATGTGGCAACTTGCAAGTGCCCTGCGCACTTTTCACACATGCTAAATCATGCAGTTTCAGTCCACTTCAGCAACCATTTGTGAGTGGAAGTTGCCATTTCGCACAGTAAAATCCAGTTGCAAAGTGGACTGAAAGTGAATTGAAGGTATGTTAGTCAGCTTCCAATGATGTGTTCTGAGGAGACGGTAACTGTCAGGATGGCAGAGGAAATAAACATGGGGGGAAATGATCTCCTCTTGTTTCACAGCGAGCACTTTTTGTATGAGAGGGAAACTGTTGTTGGACATCAGCACTGGGGAACTTCCCCTGCAATCTTTCCTGGTAGATGCAGGTGGGTGGCCGTGTTGGTCTGAAGCAGCCGAACAAAGTTTGAATCCAGTGGTACCTTTAAGACCAACAAAGTTTTATTCTTCGTATAAGATTTTGTGTACACATGAAAGCTTATGCCTAGAATAAAAAAATTGTTGGTCTTAAAGGTATCACCAGACTCAAACACAGTGTTTACTGGTGTCATGGAAACATAATCATCATCCAAATGTGAGGCATACATCAGGACCTTGGGCTGGTATACTCCTTGATCTGTCACTTTTCCTTTACAGGCTTTCACGGGGGGGGGGCGGTTTTTCTAAGGTGTTATAAATTGTATATGGGGAAACATGGATTAAAGAAATCTGAGTTTGATAAGAGCAGTAGGTGAAAGAAATTCAGTCTGCTATGGTGCTGAAATCCAATCCCTCAGAAACACTTGTGTCTTCATATGAGTAAGGAGAACTGGAACAATATCCTTTCTTCACTTTCTCCCCACACTTAGTATGTACTCTTGGTATGGTATGAGAGCCAGTTTGGTGTAGGGGTTAAGTGTGCGGACTCTAATCTGGGAGAACCGGGTTTGATTCCCCACTCCTCCACTTGCACCTGGCTGGATGACCTTGGGCAAGCCGTAGTTCTGATAAGAGCTGTTCTTGAAAAAGAGCAGTTTCTGTCAAGAGCTCTCTCAGCCTCACCTACCTCACTGGGTGTCTGTTGTGGGGAGGGAAAGGAGTTTGTAAGCCGCTCTGAGACACCTTTGGGTAGTGAAGGGCGGGGTATAAATCCAATCTCTTCTCTTCCTCTTCTTTTCCCTCAGGAAAGGGACTGAGCAAGTGACCACACACACCCCTTAATCATTTATATATATCTAATTCTCAACAGTCCTCTTTGCCTGTGGATACTTATTTCCGCAAATACAGGGCACACTCTCCTCAACAGGCTTTTCTACAGACTCAGGCGGAAGGGTGGCCCTGCTGTTTATTACAGGCTTTCTTGTAAGCATTTAGCAAATCCTCACTTCTTGCTCAATTTATTGTTTGAATGTGTTTGTGAGCTGTATGTTTGTACTAATGCCTTTCTATGTCCTCGGACTCAGAAGCACTGGCTGCTTATATGCCTGCAGCGATCTCAGTCCTATTGGTTTTTTGGGGGGCGTTTTGCCCTCAAGTCACAACTGACTTACCAGGATGCCTTGGAGTTTTCAAGGCAAGAGATGTTCAGAGGCAGTTTGCCATGCCCAGCCTCTGTGTAGCACCCTTGAACTTTCTTGGTGGTCTCCAAATATTAACCAAGGCTGACCCTGCTTTGCTTCTGAAATCTAACAAGATCAGGTTACCCCAGGCCATCAAGATCAAGGGGAGGAGAGACCTGTTGTACCATTCAGTTCTTTTTCCCAGTGGTTTTTTGGGGGGGAGGGAAGGGGGGCGGTACAGGTGCTTCAAGAGTGGTTGATAGAAACGGAGCACAGTTTATGTAGGACTAGGTCTCTGTGAGTCGTCTGTCACAGAGTTCACGCTCCTTAGGAAAGTCTACTAGAGTGGGGGGGGCATTTTGTTCTGGTTTTGTTTCTTGTTCGTTAGGAACTGCAGCCCTTGGATGGAAGGGATTTACTTGGCTTCATCCCTAGGGCTGCACACTCCAGGCTGGAAAATTCAGGAGATGTGGGAGGGGAGTGGATCCTAGGGAAGGAACTCAGTGGGGTAAAATGCCATACAGCCCACTATTCAAAGCAGCCGTGTTCTCCAGGAGAACAGATCTCTATCGTCTGGAAATCAGTCGTACTTCCTGGAGATCTCCAGGTGCCACCTGGAGGTCGGCAATCTTAATCCCTTGCCTTTCAGAGTCGTTACAGGCGTGGGTAGTTTAATTTTTTTTTAAAAAGCAGCAACCCTTACTACAGATTCCAATTTCATATTAAAATGCGCTTCCTGCCCCCAGTGCAGGGGAAAGGCGCAGGAGGGGAGCCTCCGCCCGAACCAGCAGCTGGCCAGCTTTGTCGAGCACATTAAAAAACTCAGCCCACCGGAGGGGATGGCGGAAAAAGTGAAGGGGGGAGACGGAGAGGGGCGACTCTGCGAGAAGCACCAGGAGCCACTGGAACTCTTCTGCAAGGACGACGAAGCCCCCCTCTGCGTAGTCTGCGGCAGATCCAAGGAGCACAAAGGCCACGAGGTGGTTCCTTTGGAGGATAAGGTAAGTATAAATCTGTGGTGGATCATGATGAATAGTTGTGGGTACTTCTCTGTATATGGAAGTAGAGAATGGGCAGCAGTTACTATGAAATAAAATTTGGTTTTCTACTCAAAAAGCTCGATAACGAACCGGAATTTAGTTGACTGTGACCTAACCAGCCCTGCTTAAAACAAGGGAAAAGCATGACAAAGCGATGGAACCCAGAAGGAAACATAACCAAAAGCAGGGTTGCTATCTTCCAAGTGGGGCCTGGAGATTTCTTGCTTTTACATCTGGTTTCCAGGCTACAGAGTGGAGTTTATGGCATTAAAAGTGGGAACCTGCAAGGACTTGCAGGACACATCTAATTTCTCCCTCCCTCACTATTTCCTCTTTCC